GCCCACATCTGGCCCACTGTCTGGTTCTAAATAAAGTTTTATTGGCGGATGGCCACACCTTTCATACACACGTATTCTATAGCTGCTTTCGTGAACGGAGTAGTTGCAACAAAGACTGACACCATCAAAGACTAAAATATTTGCTCTCTGGCTCTTTACAGGAAACGTTTGCTGACTTTCCCAATAGATCAAAGGCCTAAATGGGCACAGCTTACCCAGCTTTCCTCTTTCCTTGAGCTGGCGTAGAGGAAGTATATAATTTTCTTTTAGCAGGAATTTTGTGATTAAAACTTGCTTCCTGTTTTCCTCATAACTGTCCATGAACCTCTAGAAGTTTACTTTGTGACTGGAATGTACTGCTCGTGAAATCAGGAACTCTGGGCAGATCCTTCATTGTTTCTGCTGCTTCCTGGCCTGGAAATCTCCATGAACTTACCAGAATATTCCTTGTGAGGAAAAGAAGCTAATAAAAATGTCAGGCATTTGAAACCACAGCTAAGCATGTATTAAAGATATCAAGTTTTAAAGAAAGATACTGAAAAAATTGTCAAGTCATTTAAGGGTTGGTGACAACTTAAGGCTGGAAATGAGGTATTAAGCTTTTTAAGCTACAACCACAGGTAACAAACTACACAGCAAAGGACATTTCCATGTAGCTGCTAAACCTGGTGGGTATCCACCAGATTGTTCTACTGGGCGATGAGCTGATCTGCTTCAGCCTCCGCAGTGGCTCGTGCGGACTGGCTTATCCAAAGCTGGGGCTTTGAGGATCTTCACAGAGCATCATCTTGAGATGTGCAGCCTCAGGTTGGCATGCATTTGTCTTTAGCCACGGGTCTGACTTTGCCCATAAGGGACATTTGGCAGTGTCTGAAGACGGTTTTGGTTGTTAGCTGAAGTTGGGGGAGCTTGTTCCTGGCATTTAGGTGGTAGAGGCCATGATGCTATTAAGCATAACGCAGTGCACAGGAGAGCCCCCCTCTGTAAAAAATGATCTTGCCTGAAATGTCCATAGTGCCAAGTTTGAGACACCCCGACGCACAGGAGGAGGTGCGATTTCTCAACGTGGAAATTCTTCTGTCATCAATTCTCTCGCAGTATATTTATTTATTGTAGGATTGCCTACTCTGTATGGCCAATGAGACTCCTCTTTCCTGTTGTGTCTGGGATAGGAGTTTCCTCTCTTAAATAAAAAAAGTTCAGTTGTAAAAAAGTCTATTTAAAGAAAATTGTTAAAAATAGTAGAGGTGGTATGTAGACATGTTGCTTAAAATATGAAGGACATGGTTGAATGAATGAATTTTAGGAGAAAGCACTGTTGTAAACTATTAAGCGAATGGCATTATTCTCAAATTCTCACCCTTTTAATCTTTTAACAATGTCAGTGTTAATCCAGCTAGTGTCTACATGTTACCATGGTCCCTGTCCTGAGTCCCGTCTCATTTTCTCTAAACAATACTGAGATATTTAGGATGTTTTTTAAAATTAAATTTATTGGGCTGACATTGGCTAATAGGACCATACAGATTTCGAGCGTAGATTTCTGTGATCTGTGATCCATATACTGCACTGTGTGCCCACCACCCAAAGTCAAATCATCTTCCGTCACCATATATTTGGTCCCTTTACTAATCCCCCACCCCCTTCCCTCTGGTAACCCCCACACTGTTGTCTGTCTGTGTCTGTGAGTTTCAGTTTTATATGTCACATTAGGGTAAGTTTTTAATCCTTCGGTACTATGTGGCTTTTCTCATGTTCTTAGGACAGAAAGTGCATGGCAGTTGAAACTGGGAGTTTATCTACTGAGCAGATTAAAGTTTCACCTTCAACGTGTCTGTCAAACTCAAGGCGACAGCCCCTCCCCCTGCCGCGGTGGCACTTGTTGGAGAACCCACGTCTCAGAGGCCCTCACTGTGGAGCTAGGCGGGCAGCTCTTTGTGGGCAGTCCCGGTGGGAAGCGCTGCATTGTCTGAAAGTCTTTATGAATATTTATGCTTGGCTTGCAGATTACAAACAGAACACTTGGGGAATGAGTTCAAGAGCAAATTTGTCTGGCTCCAGCCCAAGAGGCTTGGACTTAGTAGACCTTGGCTCATCTCTGGGAATCTGCACACTTACCAATTACCTTGAGTGATGTCGGGCCAGCTCTGAGAGCCTCTGTGCGTGACGTGCGACCCGACAGGAATGCCTCGATTGCGTCGCCCCTCTGAGCTCCGCTGTCGATTTTTGTGCCATGTCTTTGTATGTTACAAACATTTTGAACTGCCTTTTCATAAGCCAAATGTTGGTTTTGTTTATCTCCTGATAAACCAGTATGTTTTCATCTACTCCATGTTGACTTCCCAGCCAATAGTCACAAGCAAGGCTCCCTGCGAATTTGTACGGTAGTGTGTCTGCAGGTATTTGATTATGACATCGCACTTTTCCTCCTGTTACTTAATAAGACAAAAGAAAAACAACAACAAAAAAGAGAAACAAAAATCCCCTAAACTTAATACAGATGGAGTAGGTGGAACTCATTAGTCACACTGAAACTGAGGAATCTTTATCTGGCCTTCAACAGCCTTTGGATACAAGCCAGGCAAATTCTGGTTCAATTGTACAGAAAATGAACCACAACAACAAAAAGTTAGAGATGCTAACACTCACGGTTGGTCTGCAAGCTGAGGCATAATTAGCAAGTTTAAACTGTCTAACTAGGTGACAATTTTTTTTCCAGTAGTGGCATTTCTTGCATCCCTTAAGCACGCTCAATTTCTAACACATTTTCTGGGGCGTGTACAAGAGAAAGTGGTTGCCAAGAATAGAATGACAGTGAGAAACCTATTTTCCACACCTTTTATTTGAAAAATCAGAGTGACAGTCATTCCCATTGTAATTATAGTCCTCCGGTGGCTGTCGAATTTTAAGGGAGCCAGTTGTCTCATCTCTTGTTCAGACATAAGCGAGATGTTGGTAAGACTTGTCTTTGCCAACCACAGAACGGAGAGTGTTCTTTCTCATGGCTGGGTCTCCGTCCTGAAAAGGATGCTTGAGCTCTTAGCAATGGTTCCGTAACTTGCCTTCTTAGAGTTACTTAGTCTAGTGGCTAATTAGACGGTGGCCTGACAGCAGGACAAGTAGGACTGGTAAAGAGTCTGAAGGACTGTCATTAGCTTAGGCTCTAATTTTAAGATCTTGGTTAAGTATCTCTACATTTTTCCACTTAAATTTTTTTGAGTGTTTTATTTTGAGATAATTGTAGATTCACGTCCAGTGGTAAGAAATATTATGGTGGTGACATCTTCAAAATCAATACTGTCAAGATACAGGACCGTTCCACCCCCCCAAGGATTCCTCACGTCTCCCTTGTATAGACACAGCCTTCTCCCCGCCAGTCCCTAACTCCTGACAACCTCTAATCTGTTTCCTGTAGTTTTGTCATTTCAAGAATTCTATAAATGCAGTTATAGAGTATGTAACCTTCTTTGGGGTTCATTCCCCCCCCCCAGCATAATTCTCATAAGACTCATTCGAATTTGGCAGTGTTAATAGTTCGTCTGTTTTTATAGCTGCTGCTACTGCACGATATGGTGTAAACCGCTTACCCACTGAAGGGTCTGTGGGTTGGCTCCAGTTTTGTGTGAATACAAATAAAGCTGCTATGGACATTCTTGTTCAGATTTATTTTGTGGGGAGTTTGCGTTTCTCTGGGGTTCATTCCTAAGAGCTGCTGGTCGTATGTTGCTTATTTAGTTTTTTAAAGATATGGCCAAACTGTGTTTGAGAACAGCTGTACCCGTGTACATGTCCACCAGCATGTCCACCAACGAGGGACCCGGTTTCTCTGCACCCCTTGTGAGCATTTGGTGGTGGCATTATTATTATTATTATTATTATTATTATTAATTTATTTTAGCCAGTCTGATTGGTATGTAATGATATATAATTGTGGTTTTAACTAACCTTTCCCTGTTGGCTCCTCAGTCATCTGTGTCCCTCTTTGGTGAAAGGTCTGTTCATGTCTTTCTGGTCCACTTCGTGATGGGATTGTTACTTTACCGTTGAGATTTGAGAGCTTTCTCTGTTCTGCATGCGAATCCTTTGTCAGATCTGTGGTTTGCAGATGTGTTCTCCTGGTCTGTACTTGTCTTTTCATCTTCTTGGCAGGTTTTTCACAAAGCAGAAGCTTTAAGTGTTGATGAGGTGCAATTGGGCACGTTTTTCTTGTATGGACTGTGCTTTTGGCATGAAGTCTGAGAACTCTTGGTCCCCACCGTAGTCTCAAGCATTTTCCGCCTTTTCCCCTACAAGTTTTATAGTTTTGTTTCACATTTAAGTCTATTTTGAGTTAATTTTTGTGTAAGATGGGTGTTTTAGGTTTAAAGTGTCTGTTTTCCCCTATGGATGTTCAATTATTCCAACATCATTTGTTTAAGAGGCTACTCTTTCTCCATCGAATCACTTTCCCGTTTTTGTCACCATGTTATGCCCTTGGTAGATCAATGGCTGTGCAAGAGGAAAGCCAAAAGAATTGATTTTAATTACTGTATCACTTTACTGATACCTCTGGATGTTTAGAAATGACACACAGAGGCTGTCTCCTTCTCGGACCACCAGTAACGTCTTTAGACTGAATCGGCCCCGCAATTCCCATATTTAATTGCATTTGAAATTAGAGCATGTGCCATGATGCCTATATTATTTGAAATTATTTGATATTTTTATCTCTGGGACTTCTTGTCAAATATTCCTACTGATACTGTTATCAAAACATGAAGAAACGTGCCTTCAAATACTTATTTTCTTTTGATTCCAGTAATGGTCAGAATGACATAACACAGCCATTGTGGAAGCAGTTTTGGTTTTTTAAATTTTATTTTCCCAATGCAACATCACATTTATGGTTTCTGAATAGTTCACCGGTGAAACATCAAAAGGAAAACATTTAAATGCAAATGTCGTTACATATTATCTGAGTCAGTAGCGATGCTGAGCGCAGTCTCTGTATTTTCTTCCAGATTTATCAGCGATGCTGGTTAGTATTCAAGAAAGCCTCCAGCAAGGGCCCAAAGAGGCTGGAGAAATTTTCCGACGAGCGCGCTGCGTATTTTAGGTGTTATCATAAGGTAAGACTCGGTGGCTGTAGCTGTCCAGTAACCTATTCACAAGTGGGTAACTCGAGTTCGTTGAGACTGAAAACTTGTCTAGATTATTTGACCAAGGTAGAAATAATTAGTTTTCCAAGCACAAAACATCTCTAAGTAAGCTATACTTCCTAACTGTTTAAAATAATTGCCTAATGTGAAGTCACGTTAGTGGTTTCCTACTGCTTGTTGTTTTCCCATCTCTAGTGTAAGAACTTACGGTGCTGCTTTGTAAACGTTCAGCTTGCATGGGGGACCCTGCTTCTAGCATCAGAGCCCCTGGAGGGTAAGGATCGGGTCTGCTGGAGTCGAGCACAGTGCCTGATGCAGCAGAGACCCTCCCGCACATTCCAGCTTGGAAGAAGGGGAGGAGCCGGGAAAGGCTGGAAACGGGAGATTGGTGGGGGGGAAGCCCCCCCATTAGTTTATTTCTTTAAGTTTGATGACTAAATTTAATTATTTGTCCAGTTTTCTTAGTGGCGGTAGTGAGACTTCCTCACTAACCATAGCAATTGTGTGTTAAAATGCATCATCCAGGAGTAGGGAGTTGAGGCAGATTCGGGGTGTACTTGCTGACCGAATTCACAAATTAGGCCCGTCTTTCCCTCCACACGGCGGTGTTTTCCGTGGCCCTTGTTACCGGGCAGCCTGTGTATTTTCTCTTTTCCTGAAACTGGTAAAAGCACATGGGTAACGCTTCTTTTTCCCCAAGGCTCTGGTTGTTCCCATATTGGGAAAATACTACCCTTTTGACGATGGAGGAACCTTGCTTATTTTTATATAGAACATTTTAATTGCTCTGGTTTTCCATTTTGACGGTTCTTACCCTCATTTGGTGAGAATTTACCAGGGGGCTACTTGCCATTAAAAATGTTATGTGAAGCCCGTAGATCCATCAGCAGAGAAACTTGGCCAGGTGAGGGAGAGTGAACGATTTTTCCTTTGGTGCAAATTCTCCCAAAGGGGCCACTTTACAGCATCTTATTAAGGGCCCGTGTTGACGCCTTGGTTATAAAATAAGCTCCTGTGGTAGTTTGTGTGGTCCTTGTGTGTGGCCCTGATGTCAGTCGGTCCTTCCTTGTTTTGGTTGAGTCCCACATACATCCGGAAACATCTGATTCTTCATAGTCCCTTACAGCTGCTTTTCAAAATGTAGAAAAATAAAGAAACGGGCTGTGCTTTGCCTACAGACCTACACGTACCTAAGAGAAGAAAGAGGGTAAGCAAGGAGGACTTCATGGACACGCCCCAGAGCCAGCCCATCAGCTCACAGTGTGGGCCCTGCGTCAATATGCACAGACTCCGAACACTTCTCACAACCTCTGTTGCTACTGCAGTGGTCCAAGCCCCTGGGTGCCCGCCTCGGCCTTCTAGAGTCTGTTGGAAACACGTATCCATCAAGTCATGATAGTCCAGCTCCAAGCCCTCAGCCGAGTCCTTCCAGTGGACTCACAGTTACACGGTTTGACTCCCTGTGGCCCGTTTAACTCATCGGCTCAGTTTCCCCAGCCCCACTGGGCCTCAGAGCCCTTGAGCCCTTCGCTTTCCCTGGGGTAGGCCAAGCACCTTCCTGCCTTTGAGCTCATTTACCCCTTTCCTTGGAATACTGTCCCCACAAATACCCACGCGGCTCATTGCCTGACTTTGCTCAGGTCGTTGCTTACATTTTCCTTAGAGTGAAGCCATATCTTGACCCCACTATTTAAAATGGGGTCCTCTGACACCCTCCTTTACTTTTCTCTCTAGCACGTATCACTACATACACATTTACTCGGTTGTTTCCTAGTGTCTTCGCCACACGATCACCATCCAATAAGGTTCACAAGGGCAGAGATTTTTTGGGGGGTCGGGTTAGGCGTGGTTCTCTCTCCCTTTTCAGCGCCTAACACCTAGCAGACCCTTCCGACAGTATTGGTTGGCGAGCGATGAGCATTATAAACAGAAAACACGGAACACACATGGATGTGTTTGTGTCAGACTTTCATTTCGCTTACCAGAAAAAAATCTGCGCTCGAGGCATCTGAGGCCAGGAGAAGGACTTTCGATTTGCAGGAAACGGGGTGAGTGATGGTGGGGCCGAGAAGGCCCCGAGGGGGGCGTTTTCTGAGTACAGACTCTGAGGCAAGGCCCGCATGGGTGGAAAGCTCCCCCTTGAGTGTGAAACAAGCCAGGGGAGGTCAAGGACAAACGTGCCCTATTTCAGGCTCCTCCCTGCTGGCTTTGGACCTGAATATGTAAATCTTTGAGGAGCTTGGGAAGCCAATTCTCTTTCATCTCTAATAACCATTAACCAAAGTTGAAAGCACGAGAACGGAAGAATTATCTACATCAAGCCTGCAAGCCCTTGATGAGTTCCTGCAGCCGATTCTTCCCTCTTCCGTTAGAGCGGATACATTCAGTATTAATCTCTTGGGGGCATAGGGAGAGCTGGAGTGACTCTGAGATATGCATTTTTTATCTAAAAGCTGTGTAATTTATGCATCTTGATCATAAAATACCGGGGTTGTATGTAGCACACCATGACCAGATTTCAGAGTTTATTCGACTGTAAATAAAGCAATTTCCGAAAGAAGCGAGGGCCTGTGCATTGTGCAGTTGGATCAGTACAGAGACGGTGTGACTTACAGGCATATCTGTCCTGTAGGAAACCGGTAGCATGTCTGAGGACACAGTGCTTCCTTCGTGTCATTTTAAAAGATATTATTAAGAAAAAAATGCCAGTTTTGCATAGCTGATTCTTTTTAGAAATTTTCAGACAAGAAATTGACTGTAGAATTTTAAAAGCTGGTGCTTTCCTCACTGCCAGCGCAGCAAAGGTGCTCTCGAGGAAGATGGGACAATAAAGACATGAATCGGGCGGGCACAGGACGACCCATTGTCCGTCGCCTTCCCTCGGCCACGAAGCGCCCCTCCAGCGCTCACAGCCGTCAGCATGGCTGTGAATTTGGTGAACTGTGATTGCGACCACGTGACGACTCCAGTGACTTTACAAATAGTTCCTTCTCGTTAAACACAAGTCCGCTGTTCTCATTCGGGAAATCAAAGTGGCTCACTCTCGCCAGAAGGGCCGAGCGTTTCTGTGCACAGTTCTACTTTCTTTGTGCCGAGGAACATTTGGAAGGAATCTGAGTGGAAGGAAGATGGTTGATTTCTTTTGAGACCGAGACAAATGGCGCTGGGGGGAGCTGGGCCCGGGTTTGGGGAGCCTGCTTTCCAGTCCTGGCCTTGCTGCTGGATGTGTCCTGCAGGTGGCTTAGCTTCTGTGTAAATGTGACCTCCAAGGCAAGTCACCGCGTCGCTTCTCCACCATCACCGCGGGGATTCAGTTTACCGTGGACCCGAAGGACAAATCCAACAACTTCTCTAATATAAGCGCTTCCAAAATGTGCGCTAGAGAGGGCGGCGGAGGGTTCTGGGAGGACCAGGTTCTGTGGTCAGACTTTGGGAACTGCTGCTTTCCCTTCCCACTCTTGAGATTCTGGATCCAGGGTAGCTGACAGGGCTCTGGGGAGTCCTGCAGATAGGAGACCTGAGTCACCCATGTTAAGGCAGCATTTCCAAAACTGATTGCGTGTGGAGCTATCTTTTTTAAAAATAATCACATATTCCATGGGTTAAGCAAATTTCATTCTAAGCAACACGGTTTTTGTATGTGCTGCTTCTGTGTGTCACCTTGTGTGTCAAACGTCCCCTTGGCCCATTGTTTCAACAGTGAGCAAGTCACAATGATCTTTCCTACGTCACTGAAATCACAGGGTCAGCTTGTACATCAGAGGGGTAAATGTGACTGTCGTTGAAAAGCGGAAGCCCCTCTAACTGCAAGGGATAATGGCCCTTATTACTTTGTCACTCCGCCTACCCCCTCCGGCTCTTTGTTCCGTCAGTCTGTCCTTCCTCAGTGACCAGGTTGCTCTCAGGTCTCCCAAGCTCGACGACAGACGTTGTTCTTGGTTTCCGCAGGAGTAGGGCTCCAGGTTCCTCACAGGGAGCCAACACCCCGAAAATCACTTCTCTGGAATTTCTGCCAGCTCCTCTCGTGTGTGCACGGTGACTTCTTCCGGTGACTCACCCTGTTCCACGTCGTTTCTCCCTCCTCTAAAGCGCCTCCTCTTCTGGTGTGGCCGTGGCTATAATACCTCTTTTCAAAACCTTGGAACGTAGCATGGCCTCTTCTGTCAGTGTCTCTCAGTAACTTTGGTTTTTTATTATTACGAATAAAGCTGCTGTGAACATTCATGTTCATGTTATTGTGTGAATACAATTTTTATTTCTCTGGGATAAAATCCCAAGAGTACAACTGATGGGTCACGTGGTAGTTCCGTGCTTACTTTTATAAGAAACTGCCCAACCGTTACAGAGCAGCTGAGCATTTTACCTTCCCACCAGCAGTGCTTGGGGGGTCCCGTCTCTCCACACCCCCCCACCAGCATTTGGTGCTGTCACTGTTTAAAATTGTAGTCATGTGGATAGTGATATCTCATTGTGATTTTAATTTGCATTCCCTAATGGCTTATGGTATTGAACATATTTTCATGTACGTATTTGCCATCTTTATATCTTTTTCTATGAAATATGCCTTTTATCCATTTTTAACTTTTTTTTTTTTTTTTTACTATTGAGTTTGGCAGTTATTTTAAAATAAATTTTAGATACTAGTCTTTTGTCAGATAGATGGCTGCAAATATTTTCTCCCATTCCACAGCTTATCTTTTCATTCTTTTAACACGGTCTTTTGCGGAACAAAAGTTTTCATTTGAATGTGGTCCAGTATTTGAATTTTTACTACTATGGATCATGCTTTTGGCATCCACTCTAAGCACTCTTTGCCTCGCCTTGGATCCTGAATATTTTCTCCCAGTTTTATTATTAAAAAACGTTGACATGTTTTGTAGTTTTAAGTTTTACATTTAAGTCCATGATTCGTTTTGCGTTTAATTTTTGTATAAGGTATGAGAGGTGGATTGAGCCACATTCTTTTTACC